TTATTATTATTATTATTATTATTATATATATATATATATATATATATATATATATATATATATATATATATCTATATATATCTTTGCACCTTTTTTCAGTGAAGCTCACGCTATATTTGTGCTTAAACCCTCGATTGACCTCAAAGTTTATTTTGTGCTTTTTCGTTTGATAAAACTGATCCATTCATATTCATTCAGCCACACCATATGGAAATTATTATTTGATGGAATATGCCAAAGACAATATTTGATAATTTCAACATAATAATTACTTGCTTGCTATATGCTCACACTCTCTAAAAATGTTGTATCCGTGTTAGATCCTCCCAAAATGAACTATTTTTGGAGGATCCTACACGCAGTTGGCAATATTTTTGAAGAGTCCGAACAAACATAAATTCCTTGATCATAAAGACAATTTTGATTTATAGGTAAAAGTAATGAGTTTAGGTGTGCATATATCTTTTAGCACAACTTTAGAAATTCAATACTCACTCCGTTTCAAGAAGAATGACCTTAGTTTGACTTGGCACAGAGTATAAGAAAATAAAAAAGATTTTTCAATCTTATGGTCCTAAATTAATGTTAATTCAAATGTACAAAAGGGCCCTTTAATCTTGTGGCTCTAAACATGCCACGTGAAAAATTGAAGAAATATGTGTCCTTGTTAAACAGACTATAAAGGAAAGTAGGTCATTCTTTTTTAAATGAAGGGGTTATGTTTTAACGGCCTTAAGCTCCTTGTTATCAAGCAAGATGTGTCCATGTCAAGTGCTTGTTGTATGGAGTACATTGGAACATGGACGAGCCATCGTGATCTATATTTATTTATATACAGGTAAATTTCATTATCAAGAAAGATGCTCTTCATTAGGAGTATTTGTTTAGTGAATTAACTTTTTTATTAGGATCACAAAATGCAATATGCGGTATCTAAATTTTCAATAGTGGAGAAAGCTAAACCATACATATCTTGAAAAGAGCAGATATCCTTTTCACATTCTGCTAGATCATTGAATCTTAGTGCATGATAACTTGGAAGTCACCTCTAAAGAAATGCATAATGTATGGGGAAATTCCTTTCTTTAGTATAGATTTTGGTATTATCTCTTTAGTTTTTTGTGGTATGAATCTATGGTACAATGGCAAGTTGATTACTCTGTCTTGTATGGAAAAATACGTGCATTTGTTCTGGATAGTGACCTCCTGAATTTGATTTATAGGCCACTTGCAGATTTTTTTTGGATTTTCTTTTTCCTTCCTCCTCAATAAACTTATTAGCTACTTAGAGAGATATTTATATATTTGTTTCTTCTTGTTTTACCCCTACTCCTTGAAGGGAGAGGGGGTCTGTGCAAGTGTCACCTGTTGTGTATTGCATATTGATTTTACTGGACAATCTAGACATGATTGGGGATATCATCTGCTCTAATATGCCTCTAGGATGAGGGGAACGTTGTAATTAGGCAGCGTCTACATATGGAGTATGATTTTTTTCTGTAAATATTGTTCTCAACTTGAACTATTCGGATGCTAGTCTTGTTTTTCTCGTTTTAATGACCGAAAAATCTGTGTGGGATAAACAACTGCCTTTTTGGAACTCAGAAATGACGGGCTGGCCCCCTAATCCTTTTCCATACAGAGTACACTTGTCACTAGTCAATGAATTACAATTGAGCCCAGTGGTCCTGAAACTAGTGCAATGGCAAGAGTAAGTGCATGGTCCCTATTATGAATAATCATTTATGTGTCATTATAACTTGATGTGAATATTAGTGCGGGTAATTAATTTTTCCTGGACAAAGCTCATTGCTTGTCGGCAAAAGAGAAAAAAAAAAACTCCCCTCAATAACACCTATGTTGGAGAGACATAGAGGATTTAGTACTGTGTTTTTGAGTCTTAACATAATTTGATCCTTGTCAGATTCTGCTGGATATTGAAATCTTTCATCAGATGGTTTGGCTTGGGACTTCCATAACAGGGGTCTCAAGTTGGAAAACCGTTGCTTGCGACAACAGGGGGTTGAGCCCATCAACACAAGGCTTGCCTAGTGCAGTTTACCTCTCCTGTGTGGTTTGCAAACTATTGCACAGGAGTGAAAACTGCGGGTTCCCTTGTCACTAAAAAAAAAGAGTTAACGTACCTTACTTTTAGTATATATTTTCGTATCTTTTATCTCTTCGGTTGTTTATGGTATGAGACAATGTTTAGTTGTTTTCTCTGGCCCTACATGAAATGAAAGATGTGTATTGTTTTGGACAGTGACCTGAAATTTTTTCTGGATTTGTCATTTGCTTCCTTCTGAATAGCTACTTGGATCTTTATGGATTTGTTCCGTCCTCTTTGTGCCCACACCCGCGTGATAGTGGGGTGTGTGGGGGTGGGTGGGTGGGGGGTGTCAGAGTTCGATAAAATTTCATGTCGTACTCAGTTTGTACCTAAGTTTTTTTTCGAATTATTTAACGTATACATAGTTTTGGAAAACATCACAGTGAACACACTTCTTCTATAGTAATTGTTTGAATCTATAGTTTGATGAAGTGTTCTTGAATCTTGAATATGAAAGTTTAGTTTAAATCAAGTAGATATTGGAAAAAACTTATATTATTTGGGAACCATCATTATTGAAAAATGAGTTAGTTTTGACAAATTGATAATTTCTTTATGATATTTGAAACTTATATCTCAAATTTGAGCCTATTTGGAACATTAGACATATAAAGAAAATAAACATCAGCCACATATGATTGGATTTAGGTCGTAAAAATTGCTTGAACTTCGATCATATGTGCACGAGGTTCATGCAAAAATGTTCGAGTTTTAGCCATATATGCATGAAGTTCAGTAGTGTGTGTGACCTTTTAACGTCAGATATATGTCGATCTTATCCCTGTTAAAGTAAAATGAATACAATTGAGCCTAGTGGTCCAAAATTAGTGCAGCAAAGAGTCAAGTGCATGGTCCCTAATATGAATAATCATTCTTCTTATATCTACCCCACATAAAATAAAGATGTGTGTGTACACACTAGTAATTGCATGACATAAGTTTGTACCTAAAATTTTATCGATTAACTCGTTTTAATTAATGTATGTTCTCACATTATTTTGTTATATAGTCGTAATGAGTTAATATAGTCGAAACCCCTTGTCAGCAAAAGCAAGAGGTCTGTTTTTTGGATTGAGATCGTCGTACCAGACTTGTTTAGTGCGGGTTAAATCTCCTATGTGGTTTGCTAGCTATTGCATAGGAGCGTGGGGTTTTATCTTTTGCGCACCCAAAGGATAGCGGCTGCGGGTTTTTCTTGTCATTAAAAAGAATTTAATCGAGTATGGTGTAAGCATTGGTTACGTATAAGTTTTTTGAGCTAGTTGTGTATTGGGAAAAGAGGAAAAGAACATCTACCCATACTATCCTATGTATGGAGGGACATATTTATCAGCTCCAAGTACAATGAATTGAAGTCATAATCAATTCATTGTATAGTTGGTGTTCCGAGGTCCGCATTGAAGCTCTAATTAAATGTGTATCGCGTAATATAGGGCACATAGGGGATGATGTTTTTAATAGGATTTTTTCTATATTCAGAGCTCGAACTTGAGACTTTTGGTTAAGGATTGAGACTTCTAGTTAAGGGTGAAGCAATCTCACGAAGACATCATTGCACCGCAACACATGTTATAGGTAAACTTATTTCGAGATCTTCAAAGAAGACACAATTTTCTTTTCCTAAATCAAATATAAAGAATTATTGTTAGCTAATATTGTTTACTATTGTCTTTATTTTAATTTATGTCATACTTTTCTTTTTATAAAAAAGAATGATGTAATGTTTTTATAATATATAATAAATTGATTTTTAAGCTTTTATTTTATTTTTGAGATAATTTAGAAAAAAAATATACCTCTCAACTAAATAAAACCCTATATTTTACTTCGACTGTCCACTTTAATTTGATTGTTATGACTTTTTTTAGAGTCAAACGATGAGAACTTTGATTAATATTTCATGATATATTTTTTCATCATTTTAATATGTAAAAATTTCAATCTATAGTACTTTTCTTATAGTTTTCGAATATCTAAATGTTTTGTTTAAAATATCGAATTAGTGTAATCTACTTTAACTTTGAGAATTAGTCAAATTAACTTTCGAAAAATCAAAATATGATAATTAAATGAGGATGAGGAAAGTATAATTATGGTTTAGTTTGTGTATATAAAAAAAATCTCTCGATAATCTATAATTAAGCAAATATCTATCGTTATTTTTATGTTAAAAAAGGTACAATTTTCCCATTTTATCTCTAGAAATATTGTCTTTAGCAAAACAATCAATAAAGGTCCCAACTTATCCTGACACAATTGGTACCATTAGAAATTAAATTTAATTGAATTTAAGAAACAAAAATAAATAAATATCATGGAATGATAGGAAAACATTCGAATTATTTTTTCATATTTTAATAATCAAAATTTAGAAAACAAGTTTTTTAAAAATGAAAAAAATTAACTCCTTTAAGATGGAGTAGGTAAAATAAATTTCACAAATATAGAGTTTCGTATTGATTGTGTCTTCACACCCTCAAATGCACCTCATCTTCATCTTTACTCCCGTAACCCTCACCCCTACCCAACCATTCCCACCCCTCGACAGTATTTGCCAAGATTATATACGAACTCTTTTAGGATAATAGTTTTTTACTCGCTTACATACCAAAAATTTTTTTAAAAAATTAAAAATTATTTCTTTATCTTCTATCTTTGTCTCCATAGACCTTTGTGTGGTGTATAAAGCATCGTACTAAAATCACTCTTATGACAAAAATTTAAGTACACTTAATGTGTGTGTATATATATATATATATAAATAA